GGCGTGCGCGTGCAGCGTGGCAGCCAAATGCTTCTTCAACATGTTTGTCATGTCTGCGCAGGGCCCGTGTCGTCGGGAGATGGAAAGCATCCTAAATAGTCTGAAAATCAGCAACGTGCTCAACCCGAGAGGCTTCCGCATACCCAACTGTGACAGAAGAGGCTTCTATAAGAAAAGACAGGTGACTAACATCACACACACACACACACACACACACTTCTCCCAAACACACTTGTAGACATACAAATAGACCCACCGCATGCCTGAACACTTCTATGGAATCCTCACTAATTCATTTCACCCACCAACACATACACAATCACCCCCCCACTTTTTTTTTTTTTTTTTTTGCTGCTCCGGTTGCCTTGACAGCCACATCAACACTATATTATCTGAAGGGCTACAACCATGTATTACTCCAGTCAGTGAAGCCGTCTGACTCATGCCTCACAGGAAATGAGGTCGGTCAGGTGTGTGTTGTGGGAGAACGTGGGGGGTAGGGATGTAAGAGTGTGGTTTTGGGAGTTTTTTTTTTTTTTTTTTGCTGCTCCGGTTGCCTTGACAGCCACATCAACACTATATTATCTGAAGGGCTACAACCATGTATTACTCCAGTCAGTGAAGCCGTCTGACTCATGCCTCACAGGAAATGAGGTCGGTCAGGTGTGTGTTGTGGGAGAACGTGGGGGGTAGGGATGTAAGAGTGTGGTTTTGGGAGTGTGTGTGGCACGGTAGCTGTGGCGGCAGGGGAATGTATGGATGGCGCTTGTTTGATGGCGGTAGTTTTGGTTGTAGGTGGTGTGGGGTTCTCTCGGTGAGCTGGAGAACAAATGGCGGTTGAGTTTTTCTTGTCTGTGGTCTTTTGGCTCGGGCCACCCAAAGTCAAGCCGTTTGCAAGGCAGCGGCCAGGAAGCGAGGACGCTCCAACATGTTGGCAGAGGCCCCTTTCAGACACAAATAGCACCATTAAAGTTGGCCCCCGTGCCGCTTGCTTCAACAGAACTTATCAGTGCCGGCCTACATCTGGATTCATGGAATCCAACCTCCAAAAGTGCAACAATCCGTTCTGCGGTGCCGGTCGATAATTTGAATAGCTTCGTCCACAGCACGTCACGATCACTTTGAGTCAGGCTAATGGAACGACTCACACTTTGAAGGTGCCCGGTAGACACTCAATGGAAACGGATACGGAGGGTGTTTGCGGAGTCGATGGACATTTTCGGGTTGTGCGCTTGCTTCATCTCGATGTATTGTGAGCGTAGCTGCAGTCGCCATTGTCGGCTGTGGGCTAGCTTCTATTATATATATACTAAAAGCTACTTACGCTACTGATTTTAGCATCTGCTTGATAAAATGTGTTCATGTGCGAAACTGATCTGGCCTTCCCATGTGGAATTTGCATGTTCTCCCCGTGCCCGCATGGCTTTTCTCCGGGTACTCCGCTTTCCTCCCATGTTCCAAAAAACCTGCACGGCAGGTTCACGGAACACTGGAAATTGTCCCTCTGTGTCCTTGTGAGTGCGAATGGTTGTTGGTCTAGGTGTGCCCTACGATTGGCTGGCAACCAATTCAGGGTGTACTGCCTGCGCCCCTCGTGAGGAGTAGCGGATTCAAAAAGGGATGGATGAACGGATATTTGCACGTACTCCTTGCACTGTGCTCACATAACCCAGGTTGAGAAACATCCACCCATCCATTATCTGAACCGCTTTCTTCTCACGAGGGTCACGGACATGCTGGAGCCTATCCCGTATGACTTCGGGCAGTAGGCGGGGTACACCCTAAACTGGTTGCCCGCCAATCGTAGGGCACACCTACACCAACAACACACCTTGAGACAACGTGGAGCATTCACTCAACCTGCCGTGCGTATTTTTGTAATGTGGGAGGAAAGCGGAGTACCCCGAGAAAAGCCATGCAAACTCCACACAAGAAGGCCGGGACCCCGGAGTTGAACCCCGGACCTCTGCACTGTCAGGGGGGCGTGCTAACCAGTGCACGAGCGTGTCGGCGGTTCGGGAAACACCGGAAATGAAAAAAAAAACGGGCATGCCGTATGGCCATCGCCAGGAAGCGTTACGATCGCATGAATCAAGTTGAAGGGCAGTTCAGTGTCCTGACATAAAATGTCCGGCCAGTCTGAGGCTGGCACGAGACCAAGATCTTTGGAAGTCAAGTGAGAGAAGACCAAGATCTTGAGTGATGTGAAACTAGCTGTACCCGTGCACAAAAAAAAAAAAAAAACTCCAAAAAGACAAAGAAGTGTATGGAATGTCACATGATATCACATAGGATGGCTTGAACTCCCAGCTGTTTGTTTCATCTTTTTTTTTTCTCTAGAAATGTTCATCTGGAGTATTGTAAAATGATATTCAGTTGTTTGTTTGTTTCGTTTTTGTATTTTGTTTTTTTAATACAGACTTTAGTATGCTACATAAGAGGACGTTTTCTGTGATCCCTGGCTGATATTTGCTGACTTAAGTAGAGGACGCTGTCAAGAAAAGTGTGAGAAGGACTGATTTGAACTTCAAGTTCAAACTTCCAAGACTAGTTGTTTGTTTTTTGTTTTTTTTGTTTTTTTGGGAGAGGGAGGATTTCTTTGAACCCCGTCCCAGTCTGAAACGGAATGAGTCACGATTGGAGAGCAGCGTGATTCAGCCATCAAAACAAGCCGTAACAGAATCACAACAGGCTCTCTCTCGTCGTGTAACGTTGCCCCTTTGCCAAAGTGTCGTTTCATTCGGGTTTGCAAAACAAGAGTCTTCCTTGTTCGTTTACTCGAGCCTGTCGACAAATATCCAGCGGGAATGTGTCGGTCTGTGCGAGTGCGGCAGCGTGCCAAGCCTTATCTCCCCCCCACCCCCCCTTTGCTTATTTAGAGGGCCGGCGGGGTGTGCGGTGTGAAGTCCATCCGAGGGAATGCGTCTTCACGGTGTGCTGCAGATTTATGACCGGAAACGCGCTGAAAAGGAGACCGTGTGAACCGTCTAGGGTGACAATAACTGTGAAAAGAAGATTCCACGGCTGAGGGGAGTGGGGGTGGGGGGGGGGGGTTACTAGGAATGGTCCAAGCTGAGTAACAGAAAATAAAAAGGCCCAATCTTTCACCTCGACTCACTGAAACTTCATCCGGAAACATTTCAGACTTAAATGAATTTTTTTTGTAAATTCCTTCCGAGGTGTCTGCCGATCAGAAGTTGCTTCGGTTGACTTTTATGTCGTTTCTTTTTGTTTGCGGATTTCCATTGTGCCTTCAAAACAAAGCTCACGAGATGGATGGCAGAATTGAGGAAGAACTCATCAAATTGCTGTCCATCTGACCCATCTGACAGCTTGATGATCAAGTTGGCCCAAAGCAGCCAAAATAACCCTCCAACTAAAAATATTCTAAAACCGTAACTCGACAATCCAACTGACAAAAAAAAAAAAAAAGCAACACTCCCAACACCCCGACACCCCCCAATCACTTTTTTGGGGCGTTACCGCTGGAGCCGCACAGGTGGAAAAAGTGTCACCTCCGAGTTGCTAACTTTGCAGTTTTAAATAGGAGTTTTAATGAAGTGTCAATGTGTGTCTGGTGTGTGTATTGCTGGTAATCCGAGTGCCTCGGGAGACGTCTGAGCTGTGTGAGTCTACCTTGGCGAAAGAACAACCTATTTTTAGCTGCAGTTAAATGAATTGCTTCAGTATCCCAGCGGAGGCCATGCATAGCCTGGCCTGACCCATTCATTACAGCCATCAGTCTCGAACTTTCTCCCTTCCTGCAGGACTTCCACATGCGCACACACACACGCACACACGTTCAATGCGGTATTGATTTTAGCGAGTCCCCGTTGTGCCAATGTGTCTTGTGCGCGTCCATCCGTGCCGTCTTTCAATCCGTTGCATGATTGCGCTGATCCGGGCCTTCTGCCCACCTGGCTTTCCTTTCCTTGTTTGGCCCGGAATCGGCTCGCGCGGGCTTGTGAATGGGACAACAGTTTCTGCGGCTCTCTGTGTACTCTTTGTGTGTGTGTTAAGAGGAGGAGGAAGAGGCGGCAGCGGCGGCTTGAGTATGGCAGCCAGGTGCCCGTGTACCCGTTTTCAGCCGGGGCTGACATATTGAGCATGACTCACCGGGGGGATGTGCGCAAATGTATGCGGCGACCACAATAGCTTTATAATAACCGCTCAACCTTTGGGGGACCCGGACGGCTATTTCGGCTCCGTCTCTCTCGCATGCTGTGTTCCGTGCCCAGATTTTTAATTGGGCCTTTGTGTTCCCTCTCACTGAGCCACGTCGGCTGTTTGTATGGTGGGCAATCATGTGACATTTCACCAGTGGAGCAACCGAGAGTGACACGTCTCAGAAGACGAGCGATTAACAGCCATTTCAATTTGCCATATTTATTTATCTCGGCTGGATTGTTGTAACGCACTTGACTTTGGAGTCAGCCGATCCTCCATCGAGCGTCTCCAGTTGGTCCAGCATGCCGCCGCTCGCCTCTTGTCTGGTACTCGTAAGAGGGAGCGTATCACTTCTACTCTGGCATCCCTTCACTGGCTCCATTTTCGAGTTCTTGTGAAGATGCTATGATTTGTTTTTAAATCTTGAAATGGCCTCGCCCCACCTCTGAGGTCCTCCACCCCTGCCCGCTGCCTCAGGTCAGCTGACCAGACATGATGAGATGTGCCAAGAACTAAGCGGAGGCTCCGACAGGATGCAGCCTTTAACGTTGCCGCTCCCTCTCTTTAGAATGAACGTTGGGCCGGCCCCCTCGCTGCCCACCTTTCAAACTCGTCATTTTGATTCTTTGGCTTTTTGACTCAGCGTGATTTGATTTTCAGTTTGACTTTTAAAGTGCTCTCGAAATGCGGCTGACTTGAGTTGAGCGTTGTTGTTTAATATATCGGCGGCTCAACATTCTTTAATATCGCCTTGGTGGAGCGACCTTGAAAAAAGACTTTTGAAAGACTTCTTTTCCTCACGATGAAAGCCAACCTGAAACGCAAGTCGCGTCGTGCGGTGGAACCTTCAAAGGCGAGCACAGAATGTGTTTTTCAGGGGGTCTTGGTGACCTGCACACTTTGTTAAAGGCAACCAGCCATGCATGCCCACATCAACACGTGTGGACAATTTTACCCTAATGTGCGTGTTTTTCAAACGGAAAGGTCGAGATGGTGTCAGGAAGCCTTCGCAGCCAGAGACACGACGTGCAAAACGGGAGAGCCTGACCTGATATTTTCAATCCAGAACAATTAGACTATGAGGCAGACGTGCTTACCGCTTCATCACCCACCGCGCTGCCCTTCGCTACTCGAGCACGTAATTAAGACAACCAATGTGGACTGAAGCTAACCGACAAGTTCTTTTTTTTTTGGGGGGGGGGGGGTGTCATCATCAAACCAAAGCGCAAGAGCACCCTGTTAAGCTCCTCTTGTCTGCCGGCTCAGCTCGAAAGTAGGAGCTGGCCACCTGGAGAGGTGATCGAAGATCGCCGGGTGGCGTTTTTTTTTTTGTGGGGAAGAAACGGAAAAGAGAGAAAAAGAACCTGATGTTAGCGCCGTTTGGAGAATGGGGGCATGCGGTCGTCGCCGGTTGAGGTATTTTAATGGGGCTGCGTCTCTATAAAGATGCCTTTGATGGTGCTCTCAGTCTGCACGGGCAAGTTGACGACACCGGAAACAGACGCCTCGGTCACCCTCCAAAGCTTGAATGTGTGCCGCGCGATTTTCCGAAAGGGCTGTAAAAATTGCACCGGAACCGAACTGGCCCAGTAAATCGCTACAAAAAAGGAATTTAGGTTTGACTTGACTTTTATGTTATACACAACATTCATTCTTCAGCAAAGTTTTCAGCGAGATTTGAGCTAATTCGGTACTGGTTTTAGGCCAGAGGTGTCCAAACTGCGGCCCGGGGCCATTTGTGGCCCGCCTTCCATATTTCAGCGGCCAGCAATACAACCAAAAAAATAAAAAATAACAACTTCAAAATGCCATTTGACACTTGCCACAAGGTTAGTTAAAAAGGTGAAGGTGGGGGAGACCTTGGCATGCTTTACGGTTTGGCTTTGGCGCTAGTCTGAAGGTGCTTCTTTGAGGGTGCACGACAGGGTTGTGCTCTCTCCAGGATCCTCGATGCCCTCCGCGCACACTGTGGAAAACAGCCCTCCAAGTAGCGGCTCTTGTGTACCGCGGTGGTTGTTTGGAATACACTCGAGTTGAAAGTTGAGCTGTGCGCATGAAATAAGTCCTCCACTCATTTCCCACACTGTCTGTAGCTCCACAACAACAAAGTCTTGCAAGCTGCGACCTTTAGTGGTCGACGTTTGCACCAAGAAGTCACGATGAGTTCCGCTTTTCTCATCAGAAGCTGCGGAACCGAAAACGCTATTTACTTTTAGAGCATGTCCACACGGCACGATGGAACTGGACCCCAGATGCTGACGGTTAACTTGTTCCAAATGGAGGCCGCCACCCCCTCAGCCTCACTTGGCCATATTATCTTGCTATGAATTGATTCGCTTTTGATGCCCCTGAAATTGTGCTTGTATGTTTTACCGCTGGAAGAGTGAGATCAACAGGTGGGCCCTCAGCTGTCACCGACTGAGGACGGATATCGGCCACGAGGATTAGAGCGAGCTGGAGAAAAGCCAGGCCCAAATCATTGTGTAATTCTTTGCCTACATCATGTGGAGCTCATAAAGTTGCCACTCTACAAAACCAGAGTCCCGGTGGGCCTTTTTAAATGACTGCCGAGGCGCATGTGTGCATGTGTTGTGTTTTTTGGGGTGCAAATACGCTGCAGCGCAGTCGCGACTTGATAGCGCGTTTACGTTCGTTGTATCCAGACGAGGGCAAATTGCAGGCGGCCCGCCGGGATACATTGCGGTCATCCAGTTTTGGGAGACTTTGTTTAGAGGATAAGAAGCAGCAGCATTTGGATTGCGCATACACATTTTTTTTCTTTTTTTGCGCAACAACATGTTTGTTGACGTGTGTTTAGGGGAGCGCATGCACACGCCCTCGTGCACTCTCAGGCCATAATCATTTCCAGATGATTTTGAGTGTCTGCCAGACTCCCAGAATAGCAACACTGGTTTCCCTGCAACCCTCCGACTGGCCTTGGCAAATATTTTAGTAGCGCCGTGTTTACCTTTGCACATTTTTTTTCACTCCTTCTGCCTCGCTGTTTCTCATTCCGAGGCCTCAATTTCAAAAATAGGAAAAGGGATGTGATGTTGCGCACGCTGGTAAAAACCCCAGTTGGAAACCGTCACTATGATCTTTAGACACATGCAGCAGGGGTGTCCAAATTACAGCCTGGGGGCCATTTTCAGTGGCCGGTGACATGACAAAAATTTTAAAAAAAACATTTAAAAGGTGAAGGTGGGCAGCGTGAGAAGGGAGGGTATCCTGGTAAACTTTTCGCTATCTTCAAAGATACAAATGAACCGTTAAAGATGAAAAGAACAACACCATTTCTCTTCGAAACACTGCAGCGGATGAAGATAATTTAATTTTCCGGGCAAAAATAGTTTCTTCCGCTTTATGGCTGTTTGATGAAGACCTCACATGAATGATCCTCAAGTAACCGTTTGAAAATGGTCACTTGATTCGAGTTTGTGCTTCTTTTTAGCTCCTGAATGTGGAGATGGGATTCGGCAGAGCCGGATCTACTCTGTTATCGAGGGCCGTTGGCCACCCCAAAAACTTGGCAAACTCCTCCACGACTTGCCTCGACCCCTTCAACAGAAAGCTAACGAACAATCCAAGCAATATGCAATTACTTTCTTGACTGACTTTAGCGCGTTTCAAAAAGTTGACCGATTTTAAAGTGGCCCTTTCGCACTTCCATTTTTCTGTAGCCTCCAATGAGAAAGTTTGGACACCCCTGACATACCTTTACAGCGTAAATGTCATCAATACCTCCCCGATTTTGCGAATGTCAAAAGCGGGAGCCCTCGCAGACCCGCGGCCATCGAAGACATGGCGGAGACTGAACGTTTGCCACCTCTCTTTTCAGTGCCGTCCATCCAAAGGCAGAAGGCGGGGATACTGCTGGTGCGTGGACAAGTACGGACAGTCCCTGCCCGGCTACGACGGCGGAGATGAGAAACAGTGTCACAACCGCGAGAGCCAATGAGGGCCACAAGCTGGAAGGCAGGAAAGCCAAAGAAGGGAAGAGGGGGACGAGGGGGAAGGGATGGAGCGACCGGCGGAGACGCCCGTCCATCGCAACTGCCTATTCGGCGCTACGGGTTCCTCTTGGTTGTTCTCGAGAAAATGATCAAGCTTCAAAAAAAAAAAAAAACTAAACAAAAACAAGAAAAAAAAAAGAACAAAACAAAGAAAATAGCAAGAAATTTGTCATCTGCACTATTTTGCTAGCGAGGGAGCGAAATGAGGGAATTTCCCACTCACTTTTAAAAGACCTTCTTTGTGACTGTGACCCCCCCCAAAAATGCAGCGCCCCCATACCAATGCGCGTCTGTCTGCGAATGTGCCACCGTGCCTCTGCCAGTGCTCGCCTTGCATTGTGTGCGCGCCGCTGTGTGATTGTGCAACAAGTTTGTTTTCCCAAAAAGTGTTTGTGTAAATACTCGACAGGACATCACGAAGCCAAGAGACCCCCGAGCTCTGGCCCTGTCACGTTCAACAAAACAAACAAAAAAAAAAAAAAAAACGCTCTCAGGGTCCTTTTCCCAGAGAAGGATGATCTGGCACGGCAACGGCGTCGTCTTCATAGTCGAGCGCGTTGGCCAACCGAGAGCCTTGATCGCTGTGTCCGGCTTCGTGCCCGCCGGTTGTGGCGGGAAAGGAACAGATGCAAGCCGTGCAACCGTTGCAGTGCCTCAAACCTGACCTTGACATGCCTTCCCTCCAAAGGAAATCCATCTCTCGCGTATCAAATGCACCCCTCGGGTGTTTTTTTGCGTGTCGCATGCGCACGCTAATTAGCGGCCATCAAGAAAGCCAAAGGCTAAAAAAAGGAGAAAAGGAAAACAAATCGACTTCTTTAGGATTTAGACTCGGTCATCATGCTACCTTTCCCGGCTTTGGATCCCGGGCCCTGGCTTGGGGGCTGGATGTTCCGGGGTCTGACTTGTGTTTTCCGAGCTGGCTTTTTTGATCCAAAACATTGGAATGACCCCCCGCCCCCCCTCTTCCACACATGGAACTCACGGAGTTGCACTCAGCCTTTCTATACCGCACATGTGGGGGGGGTTGTGGCCGGTTGAGGCGAGGTGGGTGAGCGGGCTGCCATCCATGAACCTGCCCCGACGGAAGCTCAGGAGAATGCACGCGACGACTCCGTCAACGTCGACGCGTCCCTCATCCCGCGTTCTGGTTTTTGATCGCGCGCGGCCGGTTCCAAATGGATCAATGTGCCCTCCTCTTTTGTCTGTCGCCATAACCTGTTCCCGTCCATCCGTGATCCTTCCCACCGGTCCATCCAAACTCGTTTGTCCTCATCCTGACGTCCGCACGGGCTTTGTATCCGTGCCTCATCCTGTTCCCGTCCTTTTGCCGCGTCTCTTCCACATACAGCAAATGGGGCTTTTTTTGGGAATACATATCTATTTTTGTCCTCGCCTCGAACACGACAGCCCTATTCTCTTCCCGTGTAACCTGGCGGAGGCTTGCTGAAGCGCGCGTGGGCCCGGCGGGGCAGGGAGGGCTGCCCCGGCCACCGGCTCCAGCTGCCCCTATGCTACAAGCACAAGCACTTCAAGCACTTTAGCTGCACCCGTGCAAAAGAAAAATTGGGCCGATTTGCATCTGCGTACTTTTCCTTACAGGTCATGTCAGTGCGACATGCTGTACTGTAAATAATAACCCCGGCTCGGGGAGAGGGTATAAAGAGGAGGGGGGGGGGATAAAAATCAAAGCCGCACCAGGAACGCTGACGGCGAACATAGCTAAAGAAACAATTTTCAATGTGATTGTTGTCGGCTTTTTTCTCCTTTGCTAAACGCTCGTACGATCGTATGCTGACAAATCTGTTCGAGGCGGGCACAGCGGGCAAATATTCTCACAAGCGGCAGGGGGTCCGAGGGAGGAGGCCCGGCGGCCTCGCAAGAGCTTCCGTTGCCATGCCGTCCCGCATCCTGCGCACTCGCGCTTGAAAAGTGGACAAGGGTGCCGATGAAGAATGTTGCCCAGTAGCTCGGTAGCGCCGTTTCGGCCGCGCCATTCCTGGCGTTGGTGCTACGTGTACGTCCCAGCCATTCATTCAAAGACTTGACGTGAGGGGAGGAAAAGGAATGAAAAGCCTTGAAGCTCTTTCTTCCCCAATATTTGCGAGTGTGTCTTTTTTTTTTATATATATATATATATATATATATATATATATGCCGTACATATTGTTTCCTGGCCACTTCGTGTACAGTTCTTAAAAAGATGACTTATTTATCGAAAAAGAATCATAAGCTGATCCAAACCGGGTTTCTCGTCAATATGTCGGTGACTCACCAATTGCACAGCAAACTCGAGACGGTCATTTTGTTTTGGGGAATAGAATCACTACGTGGTGTTGTTTTTGTGATCTGCAATTTCTTCTGTTGCTCATTAACTTGACTGCCTTTCAAGTCGGGCGCGACTTTCTCTCGGAAAGTCACTGCTGCCCGTGCCGCCACGTTGTCTCAAAGCCAGGTTCGCACTTCTGGAAACTCAACTTTAACCTTTTGACCTTTTTGCCTGCTGGCCGTGTTCCGGATCTCTCGGATCACACTTTCAACGTTGGGTTCATCCTTCCTAGTTGTTTCCCCCCCAATTTTGTTAATACTGAACTCGAAACCTCACAGGTATCACGTTATCCGAGAATGGAACTGGTCTGCTTTGAAATATCATGTGTATTTAATGTCCTTTTTTTTTTTTTTTTAAATAAAAAGTGAAGACATTTGAAGATTGCATTTGTAATTTTGTTGGCTGACGTTTCCACAGCGTTTTCTTAAGATTCCGCCGGCGGCCGAGCAACAAATCTGCTGCTGTTTTCTGCGAATGCAATCAGGCACCCCTCAGTCTCGGAATGTGTCAATAAGGATAAAGCAAGGGTACAATTTGTCAAGAATAAAAATAAATCTGCTGGTGCCAGGCGGGCTGGCAGTGGGCACGAGAGGTGGAAGCAAATTCCTGGGCCCGACCAGGGCAAACAGAGCAGGTCAAAAGGTAGCGCGCGGCTCAATGTCCTTGGCCCAACTGTCTAAAGTTGGATGAGTGAGGACCTCCACTTGAGACGCACACCCCCGCGCCCCTGATAACGCGACACAAAAACACACCCAATATCGGAAGTGGGGTTAAGTCATGTTTTTATTAAATATATCGACTTTTTTTTTCTTTACCTTACATTTCAATTACAAAAGTGAGCGAGCATTTAGTCTCTTTGGAATCGATATAAACAATACTCTCCAACAGCAGCATGTAGATCAGAACAGAGGCGCCACTTGTGAACCACATCATGGGTTGAAAGTGTGGGACTCCTTCTATGTGGTCATGTGTTCTTCATCGGAGAGAACAGCAACATACATACAAGGTAGAATGGCAACTAGCGGTGACAGACACCATTGAGAGAGGACACATAAATAGTGGAGGTAGGTCAATGTTGAGATACCCGTCTGAGCGCAGTTGCATTACTGGACGCCGGCCTGTCATACTATCGGCACCGCGCGGAGCCATGGGAAATGTTTGCTGAGACGAGGTCAATGTTCAGATCCATCGGACAGTTCTGCAGTCACTCACAAGAGCTGATGGAGATTCACATCAGGCAACCAAAGACGTTTCGATGGAAGCCACCAGAAGACAACAGACATTTGGACACTCAGTGCTTTCGTTCCTGCTCGGTTTGTCACAAACAAAACCTCCGGACAACTTATAAGGTACAACGAGCTCAACTCTGCAATGGAGTTAGTCAGGCCCAAGATAAATAGATGCACATTAAAAAAAAAATGACAACAACAACAGTAACACAAAATGTTATAAATACCAATAATAATAATAATAATAATAATTGCACACACACACACAAAAAAAAAAACAGCACGAATTCAACCCAGTAGAAATAAATAGAGCGAAAAGTAAATGTATCGATATTTTAAAATCTCCATTCAGAAAAACAAAAATAGATTCTTTGCCTCTTCTCTTTGGGACAGACGTCGGAGAGGGAACGGGGCGATGGCAGTCCCATAATGACAGTGTACCTGATTAAAACACCACCAAGAACCAGGTCAATAAATAAACCGCTATCAAAATGGAACGTCAGTGGCTCGCTTCTTTTCCTTTGGGAGACGCGCTCCTTCCTCCTTTTAAGAGCACTCGGAATCCGCCGCCAGATCGGCGGAGCCGAGAATCTTCTTGCCGTTCCACGAGTTCACGCACCAGCATCGTCCCCTTGGACCTTCCAGAGACGATTCGCACTGCAGACCAACGACATTGTTATTATTATTATTATTATTATTAGAAATTATTTGACCTTCCGCGTGAAATTACGGCACCGCGCGAAGAATGCAACCGCTTTTTGATCAAATTCGTCGCTAAGATGCAGTTGACGACTGACCACAGTGTGGCTGACGTCATCATGGCTGCGACTGCATCAACCGCAGGAGCGGGTGCCGGAAGCCAAGTCACAGTTTTAGTTGGAACGCGTACACGTTTCGCGTGTTTGTAACCGTACGCTACCTCGTCTGGTTTTAGCAACAAAAAAAAACTACATTGTTTCATGAATTTAACGAACACCGTCCTTCGCTACCACTCGACTTGTTGGACCGCTGTAGTGTTTGTATTTTTGCAATGGACTAAGAGATCATTTGAACCCAGTCGGTCGAACGACTCTGATATGGAGAGTCACAAAACACATGCAGGGTGATGTGGTCATGATCTGTACACCTCAAATTGTCTCACGAACACGCACGAACTGACCTGCTTGGGTTTGTAAAGGCCGCGCTTGTCACAGTTAGGGAGGTAGAATCTGGTCAGCTTGTCTCCTAGTTTCTGTTGGGATTTGGCAATCTTCTCCAAGGCCCTTTGCAGCTCGATATGACAAGGCCCCTGTGTGGAGGAGAAAGCAGGCGACGAAAAGGTTCCATCAAAAGCTCCACTCTTCGGAGTCAGCGCGGAGGCTTTTCAAATAGTCCGCGCGCTCCCCCTAGTGGCACCAAAGTCGTCGTGCCACGGTTCGCGACAAACTTTTAGCAACGTAATCCCAATGGATGAAATGGACCGCGGTTTCCCTAAAACCGATCGAGTGCGCCGCTCACCTGCTCGACTGATTTCTTGTGGATGGCGACGAATTTGGCTTTCATGCTCTCCTGGGCGTCGACAGCCGCCCTCGGGTCGTATGGCTTATTCTGGCCGGGGAGGTAGTAACCGAAGCCGGGGTCCGAGACCACGGCGACATTTTCCATCTCAGCCTCTTGCTCTCCCTGATCTGGAGGAAGGACGTTGAGTTAACGTGACGCGGGACGGATCGGGTGTCAGAGTGGAACACTCGGCTTATGAATCGACTTGGAGAAACGAGATCGAGTGCCCGGCAAGAAAAAGAAAGGGAAACAAAGTGTGCGTTGTGTGTGCGTGTGTTACCTTGTGTCTCAGGCTCGGCTGTCGGCTTAGGCTCGGAGCTCTCCGTGCACACGGCTTGTCCCCGAGTGAGAGAGTGCAGCGGTCGGGGGTCTCCGGGTCTCGGGGCGCACCGCAGTCCGGAGCCGCACGGCGCCGTGTAGATGCCGCACAGCTCGTCGGCCGCCAGGGCGCAGGCGGAACAGCATCCGCAGCCGGGCTCCCGCAGCACCTCCGCGCACCCGGGATCCACCGGGGGGCACTGGCTCAGCCTCTCGGGAGTGCACGGGGAGCATCGAATCGGCTGCGGCACCACCACCGGGGACCCCAGCGTCCCCGCTGCCAGCACGGAGCACACCGCCGCCGCCACCACGACGCGTTTCACGTAAAATCCACCCGAAGGCATCTCGAAGTCTTTCCGCCGCACGATAGAAGAACACGATTGGAGCGCGGATAGTGTGAATATTCACAAGGCTGCCGCGGGATCTCGCTCGGTAGACTGTTTCGTTTGATTTGAGGGGGGGGGGGATGTCGAAGTGTGTGTTGCGCGCACGCAGCCCTCCCTATTTATAGCCGGCGTGTTTGACGCATCCGCGTTATGAATGATTTGAGAAAAGAAGGTGTAGTGATAGGCCGCGCTCCGATTGGCCCGCCGACGTCGGGGCCCGGCGCCTCATTTGAATACAACACGTCACGTCAATATTTATTTTGGAGCAGTCCGTCCTCGCACGTATTGCAGGCCGGTGACGACACGGGCGTTTGAAGTTGGGAGCAAGGACGCCCCATTTGCTCGCCGGGTGGGGGGGGGCACACTAAACCACCACTTTGACTCACTCCAATCAAATCTCCCACGACGACGACGACAGTGTTGCGTTTGGCGCGATTCTCGCGTGTTTGATCATGCGTTGGAATTTGCTCGCATGCTGATTTCTTGTTGAATTACCCGGTTTGAGTGGTGACGTGGTTCTTTCGGCGCTCGGATGAATGAGCCTCCTTTGTTTCGAGTAACCTCCCCCCCCCCCGCCCCCCTCATTCATTTTGTGCTCCGCAAACTTTGACCGTCCGGTTTGGGGAAACTCGCTGCGGTAATGAGCGAAAATGCGGTCGCGCACGTCCGCCCACAGTGCGTGGGCCTTCGGAAAGGACACGCTGGCTCGAATTCGAGATAGGCAAAGAGCGCGTCCGTGCAGGGAGACACCGATTGAGTCCAAATAGTTGCGTCATTGACGGTCCCTGCTCGCGCCGTGTTGGGACTCGACGCGAGATTGAAATCCGTTTTTTTTTTTTGCTGCGAGGTCGGAATTTGGCCTCCGAATCAAGTCAAGTCCGGTTGAAATGTCCAGTTTCCTTGTTTAGCAAGAGAAAAGAACTTGGGCCCGGGGCGGTGCTGACCTGACGTGTCCGCAGGCACGTCCCTCGGTCACCACGCGTTCTCTGCGGGGGGAAGGAAGAAGCTTGGAGGGGCTGCCAGCCACCAACGGCGAGTCACGTTTCCGCGAGTAACTTCGTCACAAGCGTGTTCATTTGGCTCAGCGGACTCAATCGTACACGTGCGTATCACCTATTTCGTGTAAAGGGCTTTTAACCCCCCCCGTGGTGATTTCTGATGCAACGAGCGTCCCTGGGCGATTGGCTCATGCAACGGCTTTCCCGGATTGCATCATCTGTCAACCGCTGTTAACGTTCCCGCTCACGTGAGCTCACATTTAATTGGGTCTCGCCCCGCCAAGTCAAGATTGCGCATGCGCCGAATCTGTGTGCAATGGCGGCGTTTCCCACGCATCGCCACTTGTGAAATTCTTGACGTCGCCCTCCCCCCCCCGCCTCCCCATAAAAGAAATGGCCGCTGACCACCGAATTTGGTCTGATGCTGTTCAATACTCGAACCTCGAGGCACGCCATGAATAACACACGAAATCAAAACAACTGCTGAATAAGAGCAACAATGCACCGAATCGGAAAGTCTCACACATGATTGCCAAAAACAAACTCACGGGCAAGAACCGTTTTGTATTTGTGTGTTTATTTAGTCCTGTTCAATAAATGTCTCAAATTGCACCGGCGGCTGCGGCTCTCCTTTACCTCACTCCAGGGGTGGGCAATTGTTTTGCAAAGGGGCCACATAAGGGCCAAGCCAACATGCTCACCTCATCTTTGTCTAATGTAGAAAAAGCGTGTTGCCTTGTTTCAATAAATGGATTGATCACATTTTATGTGATGATTTTCACCTTTTTGTGGGTTTTTTTTTGTCCTGGTGTGGCAGCAATACGTTTCCGTCGCATTCCCACATTTGTGCAAGAGCAAAAGTGTCCCAAAAGTGTTGACGTGGGTCACACTGGACTCATGCTCCACCCAAGCTGCGTCAATACATTTTAAAATGATTATTATTATGATGACAATGACAAGTAAAACTTTTTTTTTTCTTATGTATCACATTTTATGTGATGATTTTCACCTTTTTGTGGTTTTTTTTTTTTTTGTCCTGGTGTGGCAGCAATACGTTTCCGTCGCATTCCCACATTTGTGCAAGAGCAAAAGTGTCCCAAAAGTGTTGACGTGGGTCACACTGGACTCATGCTCCACCCAAGCTGCGTCAATACATTTTAAAATGATTATTATTATGATGACAATGACAAGTAAAACTTTTTTTTTTCTTATGTTGCACTCTCGCAAGTTGTGGGCCTCCTCTGATAGACGTTATATTTGTGTCAGTGAGTCCTCAGATGAACCAGCATTTAAGAATGAGCAC